CTCTGTGCCCAGGGGAGCCAAGGCTGCTCCTGGGGGCAGTTCCAGGGCTCCAGGGGTGCAGCAGGAGCCCGGAAGAAGGAGCAGAATTGCAGAGGGGTTTCTCCTCCCAGGATCTGTCTCCCAGCCCTTCCCCACAAGGAATCCCTGCCCCACTGCCCACACCATTGTCTGGGGATCCCAGCCAAGGAATGAGCTCCACTGACCTTTCTCTCCTTTGAGGATGAGGAGCAAACAGTCCCTGTCCAGGCTGGATGGAGTGAGTTTGATCTCGCAGGGGGACTCCACGGTGTGAGTTCTATTTTCACATATTGCTTGCCATAAATCCAACCCCTTCATCTCTAAAAATTGTTCCTGCGAAATTTTCAGAAAGAACAGCCATTAAACCGAGCAAAATGAGCAATTGTCTGCCTCAGCCATGCTGGTGGAGGTGTTGTACTTTCCCGTTTGAATTTTGGTGGCTCCTCTGTGTCCTGCAAAGTCAGACCCTCCCCTCCCACTCCAGCACTGCCCACAGCCCCAACACCTTGGAGGTGCTCATTTCTCTTGTCTTAACTTAATGAGAATAAATTAAATGGGGATATTATTAGCAACTCTTGAAAATGGCATTTAAACAAAGCTAAATTTAGCCTCTGAGTTGCATGGCAAGTGTCCCCAGTTTTTGGGCTGGAACAACTGAAGAGCCCTATTGTTTCAGAGTCCCAGGCAGGGGCTGAGAAAGGAGGGAAATAACAAAAAACCATTGAACCTTCCTGTTTAGGAAATGTCTTCAGTGTTTTTGCTAGGTTGCTGATCAAAGGCTAGGTAAAAAAACCACAAATTTCTCACATTTTAGAGCTGCACTGTGGGGTGGAAGAGGAAGGGGAGTGAGGAGCTGCAGCCTTTGCAGGCCAGTTTCTGGATCAGACAGGATGGGTTTCCTCCTGGGGGCAATTTTCAGCCACAGCCAGGCTGGAGGACAGAGCCCAGCGTTGCTCAAACCCTCTCAGGCTCCCTGGCACCCTCCCAGCTGGGCCAGTGGCCGAGCCGTGGCTGTGCCCACCCCAGACACAGGGACAGCTCCACTGAGCCCTGCCCCGCCCTAAATCCCACCTCTGGGGAAGAGGAGACCCCCCCTTGTCCTGGCAAGGGCTCAGTGCCCTCCTCCCTCTGCCCCAGAGCTGCCCCAGGAACCACGCTCGGGTCCCTCCATCCTCCGGGCTCCCAAAAATGCAGAAACTCCTCCAGGGGAGAACAACAAACAAATCATTTTCAGCTGTTTCTATAGAGCTTGGCTCGGGGGCAGGAAGGCCAAGATGGAACAAGAGACCCGAGTGTGTATTTTCCTTTCTCTGCTGTGGAAAGAACTCATCGGAGTGTCAGAGTTTCCCTTTGCAATTAGCAGCACCGGGTGCCAGCTGATTGCTCATTTGCACTGGAAAGGCCAGCAGCAGAGGGGACACACGGTCCCTCCTGGCTGATCTCCTCCAGAACTGCTCTTATCTGGTTCCCAGGTCCAGCCTGAGCTGCTTGGTCCCAGCCCAGGGCTCTGCGGTGGGAATTGGGGATGTTTGGGTTGCTCCACGTGCAGGGAGGGTTTGGGATGGGTTTGGGATGGGTTTGGGATGGGTTTGGGATGTGTGAGCCATGGCTCTGGGGGATGCTCTGGATCCATCCGTTTGCACACGGGCTGCACAAACCCTGTGCCCAGGCGGGATCGGAGCCCACTAGATGGCATCTGAGATCGGAATCGTGGATCCCACTGGAGCTTCCCTGTGCGTTCCTGCTCCAGTGCAGCCCCTGTAAACAGGAACGAGCCTAAATGCCATTTAATCACTCATCTGCAGAGGAAAGCCAAGGCACACTCGCTCATCCCAAGTGGCAGCAGCATGGCTCGGTGACAAAACTTAAATTGTGTGTTTTATATGTATTTCACACCCAGGGCATTGTTCTCTCACAAGATCCAGCACCTTCCACCCTCTGGAGCAGGCTGTGCCTCCAGGTTTCTTCCTCCCACCCACAGCAGACCCCTCGGTGTTATAAATGCCTCATTTTTGGTGCACAAGGCCAAGGACAGTCACAGAGAGCCTGGGATTCCCTCAGGAGCTGTTGGGGACACTGAGCAACTCCTTCCAGTGCCCTGTTTTCTTTCCTAGGGCACTTGGCAAGACAAAAAAAGGCACTTTTGTTCCCAACAGGGAAGAGGAAGAAGAAGAACAAAGGCAACTTCCTGTTGGACACGGTGGGAGATGCTTTAGAAGCTGAACCGACCCCAGAGCTCAAAGAAAAAAAGAGGATTTATGCAATGGGGAGGTCGCATTTCCCCTGGAACTGCCGTGATCCCTTTGGGATGCTCCTGGCACCGTCCCCTCCTGCACCAGCCTGGCCCAGCCCAGCTGCTCTGCCCAGGGGTCACTGGTGGGAGCTCCCCCACCCCGAAGAGCCCCCCAGGGGTGCTGGGGGACCCTCGCAGCCCCCCGTCACTCACGCAGGTGTTGGACTCGTTGAGCTGCAGGCAGATGGCTCCGGTGTCACCCTCGCCTCTGGCACCGTGGCACCTGATGGCAGGGAGGGGAGGCTGCAAGGAGAGCACAGGGCTGGTGTCAGTGCCCTGCTGGGGGGTTTTTGGGGACGGCCCAGCCCCCCCAGGCAGCCCCATGCTCACCTCGGGGCCGGTCCTGGCCGTGGACAGGGCTGTGCTGGCAGATGGCTCTGGAGGATGCTCCGGGGTGGTCACTGAGCTGGTGCTGGCCACCGTGGGGCCGGAGGTGTGTGTGCTGGCCTTGGGCTGTGTCCCTGGGGGGCTCTGGGTTGTGGAGACCCCCGGGCTCCCCTGTGGCTCCAGGGGGGTGCCTGGCAGTGATGTTGGGGCTGGGCTGGGCTGGGAGCTCGTCCCCAGTTGCCCAAGGAGCTCTGATGATGTCGGGCTGGTGGCCACAGACGTTGCTGTGGCTTCAGCTGGGAGGAAATGCAAAGAGAAAGGCACAGGAGAACTTTAACCCCTGTCAGCTCTGGCATGGCTGAAGCACAATATTGATTTGTCAGGCAGCAGCAGCAGCAGGAGCCATTGGCTCTCTCGGAACCCTCATTAGCCCTGCTCGTGCTGCTAATTGCCACACACCCCCCACGGTCAGGGGACAATGGGCTCCTTTTGGGGCAAAGGTGCCACTGCCCAACCCCTGGCATTGCCCTTAGCTCCTGCTCACCCCGAGGCTTCCAGAGACCCCAGACTGCACCAGGGAAAGGCTCCCTGCATCCTCTCATCCCTTCAGAGCCCTGCAGAGCCTCAGCTGGGCCTCCCTCCATGGGATCCCACACTGGTTTGGGTTGAAGGGACCTCAAAGCCTCTCCAGTGTCCCCCTGTCACGGCAGGGACACCTCCCACTGTCCCAGGCTGCTCCCAGCCCAATGCCCAGCCTGGCCTTGGGCACTGCCAGGGATCCAGGGGCAGCCACAGCTGCTCTGGGCACCCTGTGCCAGCCCTGCACAACAATTCCTTCCAAAAATCTAATTTAAATCTCTCCTCCTCCATCTTAAATCCATTCCCCCTTTTCCTCACCTCCCCAAGGGTCTCTTCCAACATGTGTGAGATAAACATTACTGAGCTTTTTGTTTTGACCAGGATGGGGCTGAGCTACCTGGTTTGGGTGTCCCCAGGTGGGATTTTTTTTTTTGGATGGAATTAGAGCTTTTGACCACACTCAGCCTCTTTGTTTTTTGAGAGCACAAACCATGCCTTAACAGTGCGAGCCTGTGCACTTCATAAATCTAATTATCAACACAGAATCCACCAGGAATCACAGAGGGAACAAAGGGAGAGGTTACCAGAGGTTGTTTTGGCACTGCTGGTGTCTCCTGTGGCTGCTGTGGTGGCAGTGCTGGCAGTGCTGCCTGTCCCACTGCTGCTGTCCCTCGCTGCCACGGCCGTGGCTGTCAGTGTGGGGGTGTCTGTCGTGCTCTCGGCAGCAGCACAGCCTGAGGAAAGAGGGAGCTCTTAGGGGAGAGGGAGCTCTTAGGGGCTGCTGAACCCCCAGCCCAGCCCTGAGCCCCTGGGGAAAAGCAGGGAAGGTTCAGCTGCTCTCCCAAATTCGCTTTTTCTTGCCCCAAACTGGCAGGAAGCCTCGGGAGAGGCTCAGGGGTGAAACTTTTCATCTGGGGGAGCAGCAGAGTCCGGTGCAGCCCTGGCAGGGGCTCCAGGGCTCTCAGGAGGAGAAGGACAGGCTCGTTCCCACCCTGGTGGATGCACAAAGCTCTGCACAAAGCTGGATTTCAGAGTTTGGGTTTATAATCCTGGGAGGAAAGAATCAAGCCTTGGAAGAGATCATTTGTGTGCCTCAGGATAGATAAGTTGGATTTACAGTTGCAGGCACAATCTCAAAGTAAATAGAAACATTCCCACTGGCTTGGGATCAGCCCTGACTCATGAGTGAAAACATCTTTGGAGGTAAAGCAGAATGTTTGGAGAGTGGTTTGCTGCTCTAACTTAAAGTTTATATATTGCTTCCTGCTGCGTTGCAGAGATGACACTTCCAGCTTTTCCTTCAGAAATGTGAGTGTGAGTCAGTGAAAATGCATTTCTCCCCATTCCTTCACCTCCTCTCTCCCTAAGATCTATTCCCACTTTTAACAAACAGCTTCAGTCTCTACCCCAGGGCTCGTGGTGTTTAAGATTCTTATCCAGGCACTAAAGAGAAAATCATACAGAGTGTGTTGTTTCATTTGTAGCTCTGCCCAGGGGAGCCCCAGCTCCAAGAAAAGTTACTTCATCCTCCCAAACCACCCTGAGAGATGGAGCAGCTCTGGCAGGTCCCGAGGAGCCGCCGGCGCCGGCTCTGGCTGCGGGCAGGATCTGCTGCCAGGGGAGCAGCAGCGGGCACTGGGAGCTGGGATTGGCACTGGGAGCTGGGATTGGCACTGGGGAAGGGCCTGGAGGAGCTGCTCTGTGTCACCACGGCACGGCTTGGCTGGGCCAGCTCCTCAGAGCCTGCGGGGTTTGTGCAGAGCAGAGCCCGAGGGCACCGGGGCTCGTTTTGGCCGTGGGGGCAGAGCTGCTCTGCTGCTCCTGCTGTGGAAAAATGGGGAAATGTGGGGTCCAGACTGGTCCTATCCATCCCATCCCATTCCATTATCCCATCCCATTATCCCATTCCATTATCCCATCCCATTATCCCATCCCATCCCATCCCATCCCATCCCATCCCATTATCCCATCCCATCCCATCCCATTATCCCATCCCATCCCATCCCATCCCATCCCATCCCATCCTGCAGCTGCTCTGGGGGGGCCCTGCTGAGGGCTCGGTGCAGGTGTCTGGAGCTGGAATTCAGGTTCTGGCACAGCTTTCATTTCAGGGGGGGAGAAGTTCCTTCTTCTCCAAGACAATTCAGTTCCAGCTGGTTAAGTCACCGAGTTTTCCTGATGACTTTTAACAAATCAAAAGCAGGAGGTGGGACGGCGTGCCCAGAATAAGGAGCAGCACAAAGCCAGAGCCAGCCCTTACGCACAACTCTGTGTTTTCGTGGCCACGAGCAGGAAATTTGACATCACCAGAACATCACCAGAACAATGCAGCGCCTGGGCTTGACCTCCCCGAGTGCCACAGCCACCCAAGCCCCTTTGAACTCTTCCAGATGTTTGTAAAGCACCCCAGGTATTTCTAATCAAAGCCTTTTCAGCACTGAATACTGGAATGGAAGCCTGGCTGTAGCTCAGTGTGATCTGGGAGAGGAGCTGTCACTTTGGATTTCTTTTTCTTGCCTTTCTTGGAGCATGTGCAGGGGCTTTTCCACAAAACATGGATGAGGTTTTTTTGTAAAATCTTTGGGCTCATGAGATAAATAATGATCCAGATGTGGGCTGGATAATCCACGTGGTGCTCAGCTAAAGAGGGTTATTTATTGCACCATACATTTTTAATGGCTTCATTAAACTTTGTCAGTTTGTTAGGATTGAGGGTTTAGAATTTAAGCCAAGCTATTTATTAACCTGGGAGAAATCTTCACCTGGCAATGCAAGCACGTGCAGGAGCAAAACCATGCAGAGATGGGAAAGAAAATTGCACTTCACAACACCCATTGTGTTCACCCACCTAGGTTTTAAAAAGGAAATGATTTTTTGAAGATATTTTAATAATGGGGCTTAGGAAGGATCTTAGATTGAATAAAGAAAAAGCAACAATATAAATGTTAAATTTGCTCCAAGACTCATCCCTGAGCACTAAGGCAGAGCCATAGAAAAGCTCTGCAGTGGCAAAGGTTCAGGAAAGAGGAGAAAAGTTTCCATCCCTGTGTCCCAATCCTGCACCCACAGCAAACAAAACTGAGGGAGGTGAATCCCACTGGGAATGTCTGGGCAGGACCTGGCTCAGATCTCTTGGTTAACCTCTGGCTCAACCTTTGGCTCGTTGGGCACCTGACACACAAGCCCTGGGCCAGGGGAGCTCCTCCAGCTCTGTCTCTGACAGAATTTATTCCCAAACTCCACGAGCACTCCAGGGGCTACGGCCAAGGGATGCCCTGAGCTGGCACAAAGGACACTGCTGGTCCCAGGGCTGCAGAGGAGGGTGGGGAACCACGGGATGCACAACAGGAGGGTAAAGTGACCATGGGATGTAGGAGTAGAAGGTATGGAACCATGGGATGCAGGAGAGGATTCTGGAACCACGGGATGAAGAAGAGCAGCTCTGGAGCTGTGGGATGCAGGAGGGTATGGAACCATGGGATGCAGGAAAAGAGCTCTGGAACCATGGGATGCAGGAGAGGAGTTCTGGAACCATGGGATGAAGAAGAGCAGCTCTGGAGCTGTGGGATGCAGGAGGGGAGGGTATGGAACCATGGGATGCAGGAGAGGAGGGTATGGAACCATGGGATACAGGAAAAGATCTCTGGAGCCGTGGGATGCAGGAGGGGAGGGTATGGAACCATGGGATACAGGAAAAGATCTCTGGAGCCGTGGGATGCAGAGCCCCAGCTCCCCCCAGCAGCCCCTCCAAGGACTCCAGCCGGCATTACTCACTGCCTTTCCAGCTCCACAGCTCTCAGCCATGTGGCAGGAATTCAAGCGGGTGGAGCCCTCTTCCCTCTGGAAATATCTGATAAAAAAATCCCTTCCCTCCCCCTTTTCCTTCGCCCAGACAGGATGTGGGTGTGGGGCCGGGGGCTGGGGGAGCCCCCCGAGCTGCCACACCAAAGCCCAGCTGCTGCTCCCAGGCTTTCCTTGGGATTGGGGCCTCTCGGGCAGCTCGGGAGCCCAGCACCTTCCCAGGGTTGAGATTTCTCCTGGCTGGAGCAGCAGCTTTTAAAGGATGTTAAACTCGAGCAGCTGGAAGTTTTAAAGTCTCTTTTTTCCTTTCCTGATATTCAGAACTTTCCTAAGCGTTGCAAAGGGAGTGGAGGAAAGGAAGAAATGCGTGAAAATGGCAAGAAAAGAGATTTTTCTAAAAATCAAGTTTGGCAGAGATGAATGAAAAATATATAAAAAAGAAAGATGAAAGGTTAAGTAAAGAAACAAAGTGTTTTTATTAGTTCCAAATACAGTCCATACTCCCTGTTCCATGTGCACTCTGAGACAAGCACAGGACAGCTCTCCATGGGCTTTATCCATCCCCAGTTTTCCAGCACAGCATCCTCCCAGGGCTTTGGGAGGGTCTGGGAGCAGCAGCCCACTCTGCAGACCAGGGCTGGTTCCAAACCTCCCCCTGGCACTCAGAAGAAGCCCAAAGGAGCAGGCAGGGGCCAAAGGAGAATTTCCAGGGCTTTGCTGCCTTCCAGGCTGGGTTTCCCAGGGAATTTGGGGTTGGACCAGGCTGCTCCCGGCTCTGCATCCCAGAACCCAAACTCCATCCTCCCCTCACCACATCCACACACCGCATTTGTAGGACTCCTGCCCCTGTCCCAGCGTGGCACAAGGGTTTTTTTTTTTTCCTATAAAACACGTGGTTTTAGCTGAAGGTGTCCTGGGAGCAGGAGGAGCCCGGTGCTCCCACCCTCAGCAGCGCTGCCAGCAGCAACTTGAGCCCAAACCCACAGAACTGGGAATTCCATGGCAGTTGCACAACTGGAGCCTTTGATGGATTCTCTGGGACTCCCCACGGAGCTGAGGAACAAGCAGAGCCCCAAGGATGAGCTGCCTGATTTTTCCCAGCAGCTACACGGAGGAGAAATCAACCTCCTCCCTTTTCCAGCCAGGAGTATCCTGCAGGAATGAGGGGCTTGGGCTGGGCAAGGACATTTTGCAGCATTAAAGCCCCTGCTGCCCATTAGCTTTGCCCTTCCAAAATCCAAGCTTTGTATCACTTTTCCATCACTTTTGTTTTGTACAAGGAACTCGAGGTTTGGAACTCGAGGTTTGGAACTCGAGGTTTGGAACTCAAGGTTTTCCTCACACCTTTGTCTCACATCCTCACTCAGTTCAGCCCAGCCTCACAGTCCCAAATGTCATTTTTCTCAAATAAAATTGAGGGTTTTTTTCAGTTTCTGTAAAATTAACACAGGCTGGAGGGTCAGCCAGCAGCTCAGGTGAGCAATTTACCTGGGCAGCCAGGGGAACATGAAAGGAGCTCTGTGAAACAAGAGAACAAAACCCAGAGAATTCCTGCAATAGATCTCGTCGCTCACATTTGTGTGAGTAAGAAAAAAATTACATTTGAGGAGACACCCGCAGGCTCCTGGCTCCTGTCCCAGCACACCAGGCAACACACAGAGTGCTGCTTCACTTTTTTAGTCCTTTTTTATTACCTCATGGCTGTTGGGTTTGGGACAAAAAATGATAATATTTCCCTAAAATATAACCCTTTAAAAAGTAGCACCTAGAGAAAATATCGGTGCTGTTATTCATTGCTTCATATGATGAATATTTGAAGAGCTGCAATAGGAGATTTTAATATTTATGGAGATTCATTTGATTTTCAGCAAATGTTTAGTTCCAACCACAAAACAAAAGCGTGGCTCATTTACACCAGAGCAGGCTGAGAGACAACTTGAACTGTGGCTGCACTCCTTGCCTGCTGCATCCCCATCCCCTGCTGCTATCCAGGATTTTGTGGGGACTTTGGATCCCCACTCCAGCCCTTTGCAGAGCAGCCGTGAGTGAAATGTCACCGCAGGGTTTTTGGGTGGGACTGAACCCCAAACTCCTGGAGAAGCCTCTTCCCCCCGAGCTGCTGCTCCCAGGAGCTGCCCCTGCTGTGACCAGGGGGTTTTGGGGTGTCAGGGGATTTTGGGGTGTCAATACTCACCAGCCAGCTCCAGCACGCAGGCAGTGATGCAGAGGAGCTGCCTCCACTCCATGGCTGTGAGAATTCCCAAAAATCAGCGTTCCCTGCTCCCAGTGCAGCGGGATCCGGCCGGGCTCCTCAGTCCTGCAGCAGCTCTGAGCTCATGCAGCTTGGTTGGAGTTCAAGCCTTTGAGATCACTCACTTGTGGGGTGGGTTTCTCTTCAGGGGTTGTGCTTGTGGCTCAGGACTGCGAGGTGGAGTTTCTCCTCTTTGATTTCCCAGTTTTATATAGTTCATGGCAACCTCACTATCACTTAGGTAATTTTCTCCTCCCCACTTTCCTGCCAGCAGCTTCAAAACAAACAAAAGATCAGCCCTCTCCCCAGCAAAGGATCCCAAAGGCTCGCTGGGATTAACTCTTTCCTGAGAGCTGCTGCTTTCCTGTCCAAGGGACACAGCCTGATCCAGCTGGATGCAGGGATTGCAGCCCAGCCTCCAGCTGAGCTTCCCTCAGAGCAAAGCAAACCCAGCCCGAGGAGAGCAGGGATGTGGGCAAGCCCCAGGTCCAGCCCAGCAAGTCCTGAGTGCAGTCCCTGCACTATGGAAAACAGGGGAATGCTGAAAATGGGCTTCAGAATCAGGAATTTTCTCAGCAAATTAAACAAGGAACTCAAGGATGTGAAATCATCGCTGACCTGAAGAGAAATAACTCCCTTAGCTGCACTAAATCAACTCCAGTCAAACAGGGAGCACGAATGAGATGGGCTAGAGAAGGTCTGGGGCAGAGAAAAACCCACAGGCAAGAACTGTGGCATTAAACCTGGAGCAGGAGCAGGACAGGAGAGCAGAAACTTCCCTGAGCTCGGGAGGAATTCTCCGTGGGAGCAGCACAGAACTCTGGCTGCAGCTTCATTGCCAGGCTGAGCCTCACCAAGTGGGAAACTTGGCTCCCTGGTTCTTGAGTGACTGCACTGCAGACACACGTGGGAGCAGCTCAGGAAGGGCAGGGTGAGGGATGCTCTGTGTCCTGGAATGGTCCAGGCCAGGCTGGATGGGATTTGGAGCACCCTGGGATAGTGGAAGCTGTCCCTGCCCATGGCAGGGGGTGGAATGAGAGGATCTTTAGCATCCCTTCCAACCCAAACCAGTCTGGGAGTCAAATTTTGGCCTTTAGGTATGAAAAAAAATCAGAGATGAACACTTGGGAAACTCAACTCCGGTTCAGTCTTAATCCCATCTTTTCTTTTATAGCTGGATGACGAGGTGACTAAAGGAGTCATTAGGAACAGGAAATCGAAAAATGAGGTGGACAGGAAAAAAAGCAGTGGAAAGGAGGATGAGGAAGCTCTTACTCAATGAATTATCTTTGTGTGGATGATCCTGTAACACTTCTACAATCACAGAATCACAGAAACTGGTTTGGGTTTTAAGGGACCTAAAAACTCATTCCCTGGGCAGGAATGGCCATCATTTGGCTACAGCCAGAAAAGGATTAAAAAACACACAAAAAAAGGAAAGGATGGTGTTCTTACAACGAAATCCTCAAATAGTATTTCCACATTTATTGTAGGACAAAATTCCAGTAGCTTTTGCTTTTAGCATAGTAAAGGAGTTTGGATGAGATGATGTTTGAATGTCCCTTCCAACTCAAAGCGTTCTGTGATTCTGTGGCAGGAAAATGATTCTTGGAAGGAAACATCTGTAGCTCAGCAAAGGGCTCCAACATCTATATAAAGATTTCTATTATGTTCAGTAATCCATTGCTGACTGACACAGGCACACAGCTCTATTAAAAGCCAAAATATCCTGGTAAAACGGGGTCTAAAACCTGAGTGTGGGCACAGCCCCGCTGACTCCAACAGCTCTCATCACGAATTTTCCCTTTCTTCCCTTTTTTCCCTTTTTTCCCTTTTTTTTCCCCTTTTTTCCCCTTTTTTCCTCCCTCACACACACACACACACACATTGGGAAGCGCCTGACTCAGTGTGTAACCAGGTTTTACATTGCATATCAGCCCAGAAAATGAATTCAGAGATGAAATGTGAAAGGCAGAGTGAGACAGGAGTCTTATTTAAATAACAGATATGTTTTTGTCTATGAAAGTGAGAATTTGGGTTGAATAACATGACTGAAAATCAGAGTGGTAGATCCACGGAGTAGTTTGTGTTGAATAGACATTAAATACCATTCCCTCCCACCCTGCTGTGGACACTTTGCACAGCCCAGGCTGCTCCTGGATGAAAGAAACCAAGGGGATCATCCTGGTTTGGCTGCTGGGTTTGTCTCACCTTTCAAAACCAGACCAGAAATAGAGAGCTGGACTAAAAATAGGCCAGGCCGGGTCTGGCAGACACCAGGCACGGGAAGCTCGTGGGTTTGGTTTCCAGTGGAAGCTGGTTTGGATTGGAAGGACATTCCTGTGTCAGGGATGTGGCATTTCATTCCTGTTTGTGCTCTGCCCGTGTCAGACCATCCCACAGAACTCCTTTTGGGAGAGAGGCTCAGCCAAGCCCAGGAAAATCCAACATTTCCTCAAAGGAAGAGCCACAAACCACAGAATAAGAGACTTATTAAGATTATTCTTGAAGTGACTGCACTGTCCTCAGAGGATTGCTGTGGACAGATTTAGGGATCTTCCATCCATCCAGCACTCGGGGTTTTGAGCCTGGTGGTTCCTGTGGCTCAGGAATTGCTGTGCTGGGCACACAGCACAGGGTGGTGGCAGTGGGACCCTCCTTCCCCCCCAGGGCTGACCAAAATCTGACCCAGCCCAACAAGGATCAGGCCAGGCTTTGTTGTTGGATGTTTCTGTGTACACACCTCCGAGCATATTCTAAATATCCCAAATATCCAGCTGTGACCAGGCCCTGCAGTTACTCCTGTTTATTCCATGAGTGTTTCTGTTTATTCCACATCACCTTTTCTCATGGACACAATTCTGTTCTAAACCTGTTTGAAGTGACCCGAGCGTGTTGCGAGCAAATCCTGCAGAATTATTCCCTTTCTCTCAGAGCCCCAACACATTTTTATGGCCAGAAATTGCCAGACCACAGCAAGGAACATGCCCTTGAATTATCTCACAGCACTCAGCATCAGCTGTATCAGGTTAACAACGCCTGAGCCAATTCCAACCCAACATTTACAGGATCAAGTGTCCAAATTTTGTACAGTACAGTGATGAAGGCTCGCTCACATGGGCTGGGATTTTGTCCAAGCGTTTAAGGGTGATTGAATTTAATTGTAAATGATGCAATAGACATATGGCTGGGAAGCTATATGCCAGGAAACATGTTTTCTATAAGTATTTTAGCAGGCAGATGGCACACAATGGTTTCGGTGCAGTCATTTCCTCACCTCTTAAAAGTTACTATTTCGGACAGATGAAATAATCCCATTCCCACCATCCTCCCAAGGCAGCAGCACTGCTGACCCAGAGGATGTGCAGTGTTTGAGGGCTATTTCTGTGCAGAATCACATCAAATAAATCAACCTCACCGCCGCCTCCCCATTGCCATTCACGAGTCTCAAAGCTTTTAAAGAACTTTCCCACTTAAACTGGAGCGAGTAAAAACTCTGCACGGCACTTCCAGAGGCACGTGGAGGCACTTGGAGCAGGGCCACACCACGGGGAAACCCCAAAAGACACAAATTCTGCATCCCAACCCTCAGCCTGAGCAAGCAGAGTGTCCCATGCCCAGACAGAGCAAATTCTCTTTCTGGGAATGACATCCAGCACGGTCAGCCCCCAAAAACTGCTGATGGAGGAGGAGGGGATGCTGCAGGAGGAGATCCAGCTTTTGGGAATGATGGGCAGCCAGAGCAGAGCATGGAGCTGCAAATTAAAAAAAAAAAAAA